TATTTTTGGATAAGATACACACAACTCAGAATCCTGTGTACATGTTGATAAAGGTAGTGATTATCCAGAAACTAGAGCTATACTTGGCTTTAGTTTGAGTACAAAAATGTTGATACTAGAGGTGAGTCACACTACAGTACGAGTAAAGATGGTACAAATAGGGTTAGAGATATAAATGATAGGTGATGGGTGCTATCAGTCTGCAAGTGGGAGATTATTATGTAATGGAGCTTGAAGCACCCAAAAGCACTGCCACAAGAAGCATCCAGGAGCGCCTTTAGCATGGTGTAGCCACGCCTGATATGTGTGTAACTATGTCGGGCAGCGTGACTGTGTAAATGCATCACGATACTATAGCAGGGAACAGGGTAGGGATTTTGGTGGGAAGCTCCTGCGTTAGTCTCCAGAGTTGGGGAGTATAGTGTATGATCAATCATTTTAAAAGTGATGGGAATGTTGTAATCTATCGTTAAGTCAATCTTATTAGCGTCAACATTCCAAAGTACATCCTGAAATAGAGGCTTGTTGCCTTCGAGAGGAGGCGGTCTGAAAGGGTCACCCGTATCCATAACGGTGACATGCTAGATCGAAGGAATAGAGTGAATCTTTTCCGCCAAGTCGATTCCAGGAAATAAGAACCTCTATCCCTAAGATTTGAGACCCGAAATAACTGAGAAGTCAATATTTTGAAGTAGATGTGGATTTGCCACATTTTGATGGTTACTTGGATCTAGATGAGTTCATTAGGAAGCTTCAAACTATGGAACATTTCTTTGAGTACTAGGAAGTTCTACCAGACGGAATGATGAAACTAATCGCCAACAACTTAAAGGAGAGTGCATTATTTTGGTTGGAAAATTTAGCACATCTATGCTGGTGTGAGTGAAAAGACAAGATCACTATTAGATCTAAGATGAACTTAGAGATATGGCACCGGTATCTACCAGCTCACTACATACTGGATCTTCAAACCCCAATTTCAAAAATAAAGAGATCACATCATCGAACAATAACCACATCTTACAAGCAGAGTTCAATCCTAAGTTTTTACAACCAAAGTACCGCAAGGGGATCATCCAAGTTGACCTCGACTAAGGAGAAACTTATTCAGAGTAGAGAACAGGTGGAGTGAACCAATACTCTTAAATTCGTGCGTTAATGGTGGAACTGTAGGAAACAACAGTAAAATCTGTTGTTCTGGAGGCTACGCTTGCAAGCTCCGCTACACTTACTCTGTTCCGCTTCAACATATTTCCCTTATCTGGTATACGAGTCATATCTAACAGGAATGAATAGCAAGAAAGCACATCAAGAAAAAAGGTTAGACTACAATTTTTTAGAAAAATAAAATCCATAGTCGTAGCACATTTTATATCCTCCATCAAGGTATTTGAATGGCTAAGGTTTTACAATAGCTAAAAGTCATCAATCAAGTAAAAATACCAAAAATCCATTTTAAAGAAATGTAAAAAAATAGTTAAAATTATTTTTCAGCTTATTTAAATCTTGCATTCAAATATTTTAATGATGGAAAAAGATAAAAGAGAATGCCTATAGCCTTTTAAGAGATAATTGGCAACGTCACATGAATAATCTACATAATGTAAAGATGTAGCTATTTTGGCATATGCCAACAGTGCAGCTTGTGGTAGGCTTTGAAGCCATAAACAAAATGAGAGCCAATATGCATAATCCCAATTTTAAAAGTCCAAATAGAAAGGAAAGATTTTGTGGATGGAGAAATGTTGAGTCGCACATCATACACTCTAGAATGTAATATCAATTATCATGTTTGATCTCAATATGGAACCTACTTTTTTTAAAACTTAGGCATGGAAGCAATTCCAAATCAAAGAAACTGATAAGGACAAGTAATTCAATCTTCCGCACATAAACCAACTTATTCTAACTTTAAATATAACACACACCCAAGTAAATTGGACCCAAATTAGTGTTTTAAAAATTGGACCGAACATTAAATCAGAATAACAAAAAGTTCAACGATCAAATATTCAATTGGGGTAAACAAGAGGTTGAACTGGAAAATAAATTTAATTTGAATTAGATGGCACAATAATGATGCAATAATGATATTTTTATCAATTTAATAAATAATATTCAAAATCAGGACACTTAACCAAAAAAATATTTTGAATATGATAGTAAATCAAAATCTTAAGCAATGATATTTTGATTATTTCCACTATGCTCTGTATGCATTTGTGCAGTTATGTAAATGCTTGTAAAAATAATGTGAGCATAACCACCAAATCGGAATGTTAAATTAGAAAATATTTTGCCAACCTCTCTTCCAAGAACTATAAGATATTTAACTTCAAAGAATTTAAAAGTTTAAAATTTTGGGCATATAGTTTTGAGTAAGTTATTTAATAGTAATTTTATAGTTTATATCTGGTCAATTGGTAAAAAACAGAAGGCCACAAATTGATCAGTATTAGAACAAATTATATTATCAAAAAGCCAACCAGTTCACTAGTTTGCTATTTCAACCGTCATTTACGGCCACTTCTGATTGCATATTTTGAGACCAAACGAAATCGACTAAGGAGTACTTCACAGTTTAACTGATAAAACTTGTCTATCCAGTCCAATTTTTAAAATCACATCCAAATCTAAAAATTTTAACTTCAAATGGGGCTAAAACAAGAATAAATGCATAAGAATTTCAATTTATCCTCTTAATTTTGAGCTAGGTTATTTCTTCTATATTTTTATTCCATAACAGAAAGTTAACATTTTTCAAATAAGGTACTAAAAGTGCACATATTCTATATCTATCAATTTTATGTTGCAACTGACTGCAAATTCGTGTTTGTTATGAAAATAAGAACAACTAAGGCAACCATAATTTAATTTACAAATGTAAGAAGTGATTACCTTCTTTGCTCGTTTTACAGCCACAACCTGACCATCACCAAGAATACCCTTGTATACAGTTCCAAATCCACCTTCACCCAGCTTCATTGAAGGTGAAAAGTTTTGAGTGGCCTTGATGATCTGACTAATAGTAAGTTGCAATGATCCAATTCTATTTTGCTGTGGAGATAATGAAAAACGAGAAGGACTTTGTGGTACTTTATGTGGAGTAGTCAAATTTTTGTCAGATGAAGTGGATACATCTAAAGAAGAAACTGAATCCGCTGCAATAAGCCAATTCATTTGGTAAGAATAACACTAACAGAAAAATCTCACCAAATACAAAACATAGCATGAAAAATTAACCACTCTATTAATATCATCATAAGTTCAAATACTATTTTTTAAAATAATAAAGCATATCAAGTGCACTTTCCAATGTGTATAAGGTTTTCAAATCGAATGCTACTTGTTTTGCAATTGATAAAATAAAAACAATCATGTTCTTTTAAGGGAATATTTAGTTACAATGAACAAGAGCATATTTCGATTTCAACAACCTTCATATTGCAACTTTATATGTGAAAAGCTAGGAATATAATACATCGCAGCATACTCTAGAAATTTGAAATTTTGGTTTTCCTATTGAACTTACATGAAATTATTTCTTTGGAAAAAGCTTTTTGATCTATTGGTTCTTTCCTCCTTGCACGAAAGCAGGGACAGATTACAACACAACATAAAAGAAACATTCCTGGTACAGCCAGAACCATGCCTTTGGGTGGTATTTTTAACCTAACTTCTTTGACTTCTTCTTTTGACAGTTGCTTTCTGCTTAGTTGATCCAAGTGAGAGGAATCTGCCTGAGGCAGCACTAGAAGTTTTCTCCCTGCCATACGAAATCCTTCCCCTGCAATTACATATATCATAACTTGATTGGAAAAAAGAAAAGATCTCAAACACCAATCTCATTTAATGAACAAGAAAAATATTTTAAAAGAAATTCCATTTCAAGACTGTAGCTCGTATCTAACCTTTTCAGAAAACGAAACAAACAGATTTGGTCCTGTAAACAAACTTTTTCCAAACATAGAAAAGTACTTTAAACCCGCTCAAACTAAGCAAACACAATAACTCGTCATGAAAATACAATTTTAGCTAGATAACGATCGTGTAAGGAACTCATCACTATCAAGTATCAGAAATGGTTTATACAAGACAAGATGCTAGCTTATTTATTCTAACTTTGATACAATACAAGCTTTCTATGTCAATAGAAATTCAACAAAGTACTGCTTTAAAAACAACTAAGCGCAATCTTCAACTCCATCCTCCTTACACGACATCCGACAAACGTACTAAAAACTGCTAGCCCTTAGTCGCATATTCCATCATCTCTGTACGCGAACTTAAACGAAACACAATCATAACCCACACAAACTAAAAAACCAATAACTCCGCACGTAATACAGAAAAGTAAAATTACCAGAAACAGCATCACTGTCCAAGCCAGTAGCAAACTTCCCATAGCAGTACTTTCTACCAATATCATGCCATTCCTCTGCCCGAGAATCAAACTCCCAACAACCACTAGCAAAAAAAAAGGCCAACATCTCGCACATCAAAACCCGATCATCAATCCGCTCCCCGTTTCGAAAAAACCTATACGAATCCTGCAATCTTAGATACGCAACGCGATCGAAGCTGCAGTTTCTCAAAACATCTCTAACGGATTCCCCAACCGCAGCCTCTACGAACGGCGACGCCACAAGTATCAAGATAGCAAGGATCGAAGCCATCACTGCAGGATTCGAGCACAATAAAAACTAGAAAGGAATCATATCTCGAGCTCAAATTGGAGCGCACGAGCTCTCAGAAGAAGGAAATCACCAATCGGCGGAGGCGTGGAGACAGGACGACTGCGGACGAGATGGAAGAGCAGGGACGGGAGACCAACAAGGTGCTGGAATGGTAGCCAATAACCGGGAAACTGGCGGCTTACCGGTACGGACAGAGGAAGCTAAATATTAAAATATATTACATAATATAGAAAATATAAATGCGTAAAAAAAATAATAGACTAATAGTAACTCCT